CATATACTATTTTCTCAACGCCTGTGGTTGAAGTGAGTTCCAAGTCCTGATTTGTTTTCTTACTTATCGAAGTTAGCTTATAAATAAAATCAGTAATTGTGGTGGCAAATGCCATTTGTTATTTGTAAGTTGCAGGATATATAAGGGATGCCCTGCACCTTTTAATCACTTAGGTTTGAGAGATATTTGAAATTGCTAATAGGTTTGTATCGCACTTTAAAAAGTGTTTTGGTTTATCTCGTGAGACCCTCGATGCTGCCATTGAATGACCGATCGTAGAATGGGTTTAAGATCTGTATGTGGCAGCTCGACATTGTTGGCTCGAGTTTTATGCATTTTAAGCTGCTCTGTCAGCACTTTCATTACCCTTTATTCCTTTTAATCCGCAGAAGAATTATTGTGCATTTCTTTGAGATACAAGATATGCGGATAGAGAGGTTTTGTATAAGAGAGTTTTTGGGATCTAGTAACTTTTCAGGACCGACAGAGAGTCAGAACATGCGGTTGCCTTTTCAATAGAGGCACCATTTGGTAGTCGATTTGAAGTGGAATGTAGAGCAGAGCAGGAGGTTATTGCATCAGTGTAAAGCTGTGTATGGGAAGGGAACAACAACATTTACTCCCGAAAGAAGGACTTATGTTTTTCGGGCATTGCACTCGATTTTGCCCGCTAATGCAATTCAAAATTAACATCAGATGTTTGTATATTCCATTGTGGAATATCTTATATGTTGTATTCTATATTATTAATATTGATGTAGAGCTCCTGCAGGAAATTCGAAATTCAGATACCAAATATTGGTATGTATCATAGATTTTACGGGAATATGTTAAGGTATTTTGGAATGGAAACTGAATTAAGATGGGCAGCAAACTGTAAAGCCATTTTTTTCAAAAGTCATAAAGAGATGGTTCATTGGTTTCCACGTAAAGGGTTTTCACTAGTGTTGTTCTAAAGTACTAGACGTATCCCTTGACTATGGATGGGATCCAACATTTAAGCATTGAGCTGCTTTAAGTTGGCATTCATAGGCAAAATGGCTAGTTCGCTTCATGCAATAACTTTTGTCCAGTTTCATATTGACTATGAATGCCAACTGAAAGCAGTTCAATACTCATATTTATCATATTTTTTAATCTGTTCATCTTATAGAAAATTCAATTACACTTATTTTTATTCAACATTTAGTTCAAATAATGTATATATCGTGTATGCTTGTTCAATGAAAAGTACAGACATCGCCCAGGGAGGGTCAGTGATATCCAACATAACAATTATGACGTCATACTAATGATGACGTCAACAATCGGTCCATGGCATACATGGGCTAAACGATCTTGGCGTACGTGGACACCTCCTCAATTTTATATCTAAATACCTATCCGATAGGCACTTCAAATTCTGTGTTGGTTCAACTTTTTCTGAAACGTCTACACAGGAAATGGGAGTCCCACAGGATGGACTCCTATCAGTCACCTGTTTGGTCTTAAAATCAATGATATTGTCAAATGTCTTGGTCAGTCAACAGAAGGGTCGTTATTCGTGAATGACTTCTTGATCTATTACAGATCTAAGAAAATGCACACGATAGAATGACAACTTCAACAGAGTGTACACAAACTACAAAATTTGGCAGACGAAAACGGCTTCAAATTCTTTAAATCCAAAACTGTGTGCATGCATTTCTTTCAAAAACGAAAGGCACACAATGACCCAAATCTTACTCTTGATGTCACTAGAATTCCTGTTGTTGAACAGTCTAAATTTCTCGGCCTAATTTTTGATTCGAAACTCTCCTTTCTCATACTGATTGGGGAGTGGACCGTAAAAATGCTTTTGCGCCCAAACAGATCACTTACTCGAACAAAACTGGATAATTGGTTCTATGGTATACGGGTCGGCGAGCAGTTCTTGCCTGTAGATGCTAGACCCAATCCATAACCTAGGGCTACGTCTTGACCTTTGAGCTTTTCGAACAACACCTGTAAAAAGCCTGTACGTGGAAGCGAATGAAACTTGCATTGCAGTTTGCAGCTCAATTAAAATCAAACCCTAATAACCCTGCTTTCGACCAAGTATTCAACCCAAAATACCGAAACATATTTACGCAAAACCCAAAACTTCTGCCAACATTTGGTATCCAAATTTCAAAAGTTTTCAGCAAGAACTCAACATAAATTTGACCAACTTAGCTGAATTTAACATATCTGTTGATCCTCCATGAACAATACAACCACCTGATTTTAACCTTACATGTACATTACATGAGCGAGGTAATGCCCGAAGAACACAAATCCTCCTTTCGAGAATGCATTTCGAATTACCCTTCGCATACACAAGTTTACACCCATGGTTCCAAAGAAGGTGAGAACATGGATGCAGCCTGCTGTACTGCTAATTCTTATACTTCAGTGCGACTACCCGACGGCGCCTCCATAATTTCTGCCGAAGCATGCGCCATTGGTTTGGCCCTCGACCATATCGATGAGTACCGCATTAAAAAGGCAATCATTTGTTCAGACTCTCTATCTGTACTACAAAGTTTACAGTTACGAGATCCTAAAAACATTCTCGTACAAAACCTTGCTTTTCGAATATCTCGTATCTTAAAAAAATCTAAAATAACTTTACTATGGATTCCTAGTCATGTCGGAATTAAAGGCAACGAATTTGTTGACAGGGAGGCAAAAAATCCGTTAAATCTCGAACAAACAAATATCAAACTACCATATACAGATTTTAAACCTATTATTCGTATAGCCATTCAAAATAAATGGCAGCAACGCTGGTCTCTAGAGACCAGCAACAGACTTTTTAAAGTACAACCGAAACTTAAAACATCTGTTCCCAATCGGAAAGATCGTAGAGAGGAAGTTGTCCGCTCTCGACTCCGTACTGGGCACACATTTCTTACTCATTCGTACCTTTTAAAACGAGAAGATCCAACTTCATGCCACGCATGTGACACTTCATTTACAATGGAACATGTTTTAATAGAATGTTCCGATTTTAAACACATTCATGATAACTACTTTCGAGTCCCGGATATGAAAACTCTTTTCAGTTCCGTGGATTCGAAGGCATTATTTAACTACTTGAAAGACATCGGTCTATTCTATAGACTCCGATGTCTTTTACCCAACCTTACCCCCTTTGACGTTATATATATCACATAGTCCACATCATTTATTCTTTATCTCTGTTATTATTTTTAACCCCCTTTTTATTTTGACTATCTACACATACAATGCGAATGCTTTTAAAAATGAACTTTTCTATCTGATTTTATCTTCGCTATTCTCATGTTTGTTTATAAAAACCAAAAAAAAACACCAAAAAAACCCAATCAAACAAAATCATAGGCTAAATAAATGCCAACTGAATTCGGTTTTGTTAGATTATGTTTAATTTTACTTTGGGTGTTAAACAGTTTGCCAGTGACAGCTAGACTGTCAAGAATGGGTTCGGCTACCGGAGTTTTCTTCTTCTTCTTTAGAGTACAAAGGCTCCATCAATATACTGATGGTAATGCCCTGGCCTGAGCTGATATATGATATATGATACCGTAAGACCATTATGAAAACACAACTGGGCGTTAGATATTTGTTAATTGCATTCGTTTTGGTCCCCTTTGCCTGGATTGTGCCCGGGTCAGAAAATATATATGTGTGATCGATTTGGGTCGATTAAAAACACCGTATACACCATTTCTAATTAAAAAAACCCATACAAAAGCAGATAGATAAGGTTATAGATGTACATGTAACTTGAATATAAAAACATTAAAAAATCTTATTGATGTGATTAAACACGAAACCGTTTATATTGTTAAGCCATTCCTCAATTTACACCAACCACGATTGTTATCGCACAACGGTCATCCATCGTGCGCACAAATGTGCGCGAGCAAAAATCGTCCAGATTTGTATCGTTCAAACATCGTGCGCACATCGTGAAACGTTGTGCGTTCCCACAACTGCATAAGTCATACCTGTCCACTGATAACTATATGTCATACCTGTCCAATGTTAACTGTATGTCATACCTGTCAACTAATAACTGTATGTCATACCTGTCCACTGATAACTGTATGTCATACCTGTCCACTAATAACTGTATGTCCTACCTGTCCACTGATAACTGTATGTCATACCTGTCAACTTATAACTGTTTGTCATACCTGTCCACTGATAACTGTATGTCATACCTGTCTACTGATAACTGTATGTCATACCTATCCACTGGTAACTGTATGTCATACCTGTCTACTGATAACTGTATGTCATACCTGTCCACTGATAGCTGTATGTCATACCTGTCCACTAATAACTGTATGTCCTACGTATACCTGTCCAATGATAACTGTATGTCATACCTGTCAACTTATAACTGTTTGTCATACCTGTCCACTGATTGCTGTATGTCACACATGTCTACTGGTAACTGTATGTCATACCTATCCACTGGTAACTGTATGTCATACCTGTCAACTTATAACTGTTTGTCATACCTGTCCACTGATTGCTGTATGTCACACATGTCCACTGGTAACTGTATGTCATACCTATCCACTGGTAGCTGTATGTCATACCTGTCAACTTATAACTGTTTGTCATACCTGTCCACTGATTGCTGTATGTCACACATGTCCACTGGTAACTGTTTGTCATACCTATCCACTGGTAACTGTATGTCATACCTGTTCACTTATTATTGTTTATCATACCTGTTCACGTATTTCTGTTTATCATACCTGCTAACTTGTTACTGTATATCATACCTTTCCACTGATTACTATATGTCATACCTGTTCACTTGTTACTATATATTATACATGTAAACTGATACTTGCGGCCTATCAACCCACATGGAATATTTCAGAGCTCCTATGTCAAACGAATGATAGACAATATTTCTGCAATTCGTTTCACCCCGCGTCTATTGTTACCAGAAGTAGTTTCATGCTATTATAATTCACTGACCAACGTCTATCTTTTAGATATGAACAGGTAACAGACCTGAAGAAAATAAATCCAAACTTGAAGGTATTACTCTCGGTGGGAGGGTGGAGTGCTGGAGGAAAGAATTTCTCAGATATGGCGGCAACCGAAGCGGGACGAAAAGAATTTGCTTCCAGTACAGTTACTTTTCTACGAAAGAGATTTTTCGATGGCGTCGACATTGACTGGGAATTTCCGGGAAGCTTAACTAGAAGTGGTGGATCCAAGGACAAAGACAACCTCTCTCTTCTATTAAAGGTAGGTTTTTCCTTGAACAGTACAAAATGCACACGTCAGTTTCGTCTTTTTATTTGTCCTATTCTCATTTTCGGCGATAAAATATAAGATATATGTTATAAAAATGATGTTTCCTTTAAGTGAGAATAATATGTTTATTTTTCTTGTTACTTTCATAACAGCGATTAACAACATTCATATTTATGGCGAAAATAATGAAAATGCTATTGTTCGGGTGGTCGGGTGGCGCAGTGGATAGCGCACTTGCCTTTCACCAAGGCGGCCGGAATTCGATTTCCCGATCGGATTTGGAACATGGTAAGGGTCACCCGCCCGACCACGTGGGTTTTCTCTGGAAACTCCGGTTTGCCTCCCACATTAAAACATACATTTACAGCGCGCTTTCATCCGGGCCAACAAGAGTGATTAATTTAAGTTGAAAAAAGTTGTTTCATAATTGTTTTAAAACAAATAAAGTTTATATCTGAACCCTAACATGCGATTTTGATACATGATTATAAATACACAATTTAAAGTAAAAACACATGTTTATCAAGTTGTACAGAAGAGAAGAAAGTTATTTCAATTCATATAAACAAATAAATAAATCCTATATAACAACAATGAAAAGGTAAACAATAAACATGTCAACTGCGCGTGTACAGTAATCAGAAAAGTGGGAAGTGTGTTTTACATGTAACACTGATTGGTTCTTTTAAAGTTTTTCAATTTGCTAGTTACTTATATTACTACCACCTCGAATTTGGGAAATAGTCTATGTGGGAGTGGAGATAGAAATAGTCTATGTGGGAGTGGAGATAGAAATAGTATATGTGGGAGTGGAGATAGAAATAGTCTTTGTGCGAGTGGAGATAGAAATAGTCTATGTGGGAGAGGATATAGAAATAGTCTATTTGGTAGTGGAGATAGAAATAGTCTATGTGTGAGTGGGGATAGAAATAGTCTTTGTGGGAGTGGAGATAGAAATAGTCTATTTGGGAGTGGAGATAGAAATAGTCTATGTGTGAGTGGGGATAGAAATAGTCTTTGTGGGAGTGGAGACGGAAATAGTCTATGTGGGAGTGGAGATAGAAAGAGTCTATGTGGGAGTGGAGATAGAAAGAGTCTATGTAGGAGTGGAGATAGAAACAGTCTATGTGGGAGTGGAGATAGAAATAGACTATGTGGGAGTGGAGATAGAAATAGTATATGTGGGAGTGGAGATAGAAATAGTCGATGTGTGAGTGGAGATAGATATAGTTTATGTGGGAGTGGAGATAGAAATAGTCTTTGTGGGAGAGGAGATAGAAATAGTCTATGTGTGAGTGGGGATAGAAATAGTCTTTGTGGGAGTGGAGATAGAAATAGTCTATAGTCTATGTGGGAGTGGAGATAGAAATAATCTATGTGGGAGTGGAGATAGAAATAGACTATGTGGGAGTGGAGATAGAAATAGTATATGTGGGAGTGGAGATAGAAATAGTCGATGTGTGAGTGGAGATAGAAATAGTCTATGTGGGAGAGGATATAGAAATAGTCTATGTGGGAGTGGAGAGATAAATAGTCTATGTGGGAGGGGAGATAGAAATAGTCTATGTGTGAGTGGAGATAGAAACAGTCTATGTGGGAGGGGAGATAGAAATAGTCTATGTGGGAGTGGAGATAGAAATAGACTATGTGGGAGTGGAGATAGAAATAGTATATGTGGGAGCGGAGATAGAAATAGTCTATAGTCCATGTGGGAGTGGAGATAGAAATATTCTATGTGGGAGTGGAGATAGAAATAGACTATGTGGGAGTGGAGATAGAAATAGTATATGTGGGAGCGGAGATAGAAATAGTCTATAGTCCATGTGGGAGTGGAGATAGAAATAGTCTATTTGGGAGTGGAGATAGAAACAGTCTATGTGGGAGTGGAGATAGAAACAGGTGTCTACTTACTGAAGGAACAGGTCAAGATAGCAGGTTTTCTATCATATTATAAGTAAAAAAAAATGTTAGTGATTAAAAACTTAATGAAACGTCATATAATATATAAGATTTGTGAAAAAACATTATGTGTTCTGTTCTCTTATGACACGTCGCAAAACATAAAAGCAGTCTGTCACTCCAAAATAAACAATTGAGTGTCCCACCATAGAAGACCTATTCGCATGGTGAACGAGTGCAGATATCAACTAGTGACATCAAAGTTTGTAAGTTGAGCATACTACTCGACATTATTTTCGGAATATATAGAATACGACTAATCCGTGTCTGGTGACTTTAATCTTAGAAATCTAAAAATTAACGAATGCAACAATGATTAATTTTCATTCTAGGAGGTCAGTACTGTGTTCAATAGGGAGGTGAGAAATCCAGCCCGGAAAAGGTTGCTGCTGTCTATAGCAGTGCCGGCCAGCCAGGATAAAATCGACCAGGGCTACAAGGTGTCCGACGTGTCCTTGTAAGTTATGACGTCATATTTCTTGTACGACGCCGTCATACCTTAAACCAATACAACATAGGAATAATCATGATTGTTTTGTATTTATGTACATATGATAACAAACCGTGATGTTGTTTTCCTTTGTGACGTCAGGATCTATTGTATTAAAGACGTCACACTAACATTGTACTGGACATTTAGCGTTTCCATCATGACGTCATTCTAACATAAAACGATGAAGCCTCATGCTGGTGTTTTCCCTTTGACATGCTATTATGTATTGTTGTTCGTGTTGTTGTACTGTGATGTTTCAATCAAGACGTTACTATTAATATTTCAACTATGACATCACTCACAGATAGTTCGAACACGACGTCACACTGTTACCTGAGTTTGACCATTTTGTTATAAAGAAGGAGCTGACAACGCTATATCTATCTTATTTTATATGGGTCTTTTTAAGAATTTAAAATGTCTGTTTTTCCATGTAAATGTAGAGTGTCGTTACAACGATATCTTTATCATAAATAGTTGCCACAAACAGGCAAAACCGTTGAGAATAATTACCAACAAGACAAGGCAAGCATATCAAATCAATTAAAACCTGCTTATTATATATGCTACATTATGGACATTAAAGTTAGTGTTGTGCGTTTCAGATATTGTGACATGATAAACGTGATGACATACAACTACCATGGTATGTGGGAAAACACCGTCGGTCACCATAGCGCACTATTCAAACGAAACGACACAACGGGATACCAGTCCAAGCTCAATATGGTGAGATATTTAAATGATGTGGTCTGTGGTTACCTCACTCCCGAGGTGTTGGTTATATATTTAATGTGACCCATATTGGTAACACATCTAAAGGATTTCTATTGGTTAATATAGATATCACGATCACGTTCTTTACATGTACTTTGACCGGCGTTCTTTTTCTGGTTAATTAACATAGGGATTGAAAGTTGATTTTCTAATGTTCATGAAAGTATGATCGGGGATTGGGGGCGGGGGGTATTTACACACCATGCACACATGAGCGGCCGTAGCGAATGAGCATGAAGCAAAACCAAGATTCAATTCCTATCATTCCAAATCACTATCAATGAAAAGTAAAATCACCATTTTAGATGACCTACGTTTTTCTTTCATTTATAAATTACGTGTAGTAGGTATATTACGGAACATCGCAACGTCATTTTGGGGATCTTGAAATTAATTCTAATGATTTTTTTTTTTTATATTTTTATACATGGTGTAATGTGAACTTGAGAGATGATGTTGACAGGTCATATGATACTATAACCCAAACATGTAACAAAACACTTGGACTTGGTATAAAAGTTGTGTGACCTCACAAAAGTGATAAGACGGGAGCCAAAATACCGTCTGTTTAGATTTTAAGTCAGCCGGAACAGTTTAAGTCTTGATTATTTGCAGCATATCTTGATCCAATTTTAATTGCTGCTCGCAAAAAAACACAATGCAATTTTATATAAAAAAAGAAGAAGACTTGTTTCATAGTCAGATATAGAACGAAGGAAATCCCGTAAGATTTTATTTTTGTCGTCATAGACGAATTACATCATACTTGATCTGATGTCAAAAAGAAAACAAGAACATATCACAGTGACAAAATTGTAATTCGAGGTCAAAATCGATAAAACTATGGCTAAACACGAAGGAAAGATTAACAAGGCAATCTTGAAAAATTACAAGGAAAATAAGGTCAGATGTTCTAAAATGAAAAGCGTCTTCTACTTCATCGACGATGCCCGCCATGTAATGCTCAAGAAGGAACATTCTCTCAAAGCGTAAATCGGGATAGATATGATAAAACAAGAAGACAGACTATTGATTTTAATAAAAAGCATCGACCTTAATTTCACAAAATAAAATAGCTGATTTCCAAATTAAAACGTGACGGCAACCATAAAAGTTGCCCATATTCATTATCAACTTGTGAATCTCCATACACTGTGTTGGTAGTTTGTCTATCAGCACGCAGATCATCACTTGCTCTTAAACTTAACCATTGTAAGTTGGGAAAGCAGTGATGTTACTGTGAGAACACGGAAATTCACAATAGGAAAAATTGAAAATAGTATAATGCATGTATATTCTAAATTATAGATGATTAATCACATATATTTGCCAAAAGTATTTAGGTCAAGATTTTTAAGATATCTAATCCGAAAAGTCATTCAAATCGCATTGCTTTTCCTGAGCAGCTTAGTTCTTCATTTGTTTATTGAAAGGTTTCGTGATGCCACTGTGTTCACCCTTGGTTTCTTTATATGCTTGTCCGAATTCGGTTTTGTCTTTTATTTTACCCTATTTATTTTCATGTTTACTTGCATTACACAATATCTGTCTGCATCTCCTTCTGTACAATACATTAAGGATGCTTACACTGTTTGTATAATACAGAAGCTACGTTGTCTTCGACAATAAAATATACATTAAGAATACATCCACTGCCTTGTCAATGCATTTACCTGCTCTCTTTGTCTTTACAGGCATGGACGATAAACTACTGGATACGTAAAGGGGCTCAAGCCAATAAACTCATCGTCGGGTTTGCACAGTATGGTCGCGGATTTACCCTAACTGATCCAAATAAGAAAGCACCCGGCGATCCTTCTAGCGGAGGAAGTGTGAGTGGCTCTTCCACAAAAGAAACAGGCTTCCTGGCGTACTATGAGGTATATATTGAATTGTTTTAAGCCCTAGCTTATTTTACATTTTAATTTTTATCGTAAATCGTTATCATTATCAACGGAACAAAACCACACCTTTCGAGATATAAATTAGATGGAGTAAGTGCTACATCCATTCGGCGATATTTATTTTAATCAAAAGAAAAACTTTTGTAGAGTCTCTACGGACAAAACTGTAATTGGTTTTCAAACGTTAATGGATTTAAAATGCGTTTTTGTAGTCAATTGCTACTTGTATCACCACGTTGTTTGTAATACAATGCAAAAAGCATTTGGCAGTGCTTACACTCAAACGTTTCGGCTATGTGGTAAAAATCTTCACGTCTTGTTCACTGCTCACATTAGACATTCTGTTATAGATCTGTAAGATGTTAAAATCCGGAGCGGTGGTAACGTGGGATGACGTACAGAAAGTTCCACATCTCGTGCTTGGAAATCAGTGGGTCGGCTTCGATAACGAGCGAAGCATCAAAGAAAAGGTAACTTCTTATCTCTCCTGACAACCGGCTTGCTGTGTTACAAAGAAATCAACATCATGTAATGTCAATAGGAAAAGTTATCCGTTTTAGTTGCATTTCTTACAAAACTAATGAACGAACAAAGCGCTCTCACGTTTTTATGTTGTGTTCTACTCATATACATTATTCTTGTTTCATTGATTTAATTTTTAATTTTCAGGTGAAGTGGTTAAAGAACGATAGGTTCGGCGGAATCATGGTATGGGCACTTCCATTGGACGACTTCACAGGGAAGCATTGTGCTCAGGGTGAAACGTACCCTATCCTACGGAGTATTATACGCGAGCTCAACAGGCCGGACAGGGCGACAGAACAATTACCCATATCGTCTGATGGTCTACCACCAGCGTCATCACAGCAAATCATTCCGGATCAAGTGCAGAGTGATGCCGTAGTAACAACAGATACAATGCAAGGTGTTCCACTCGTTAGCTTGTCGTCAAGCAAAGCGATAGTTCGTTTGGAAAATGCGAAGGATCAGAGTGGCCCAGTAGTTACAGTTAAAGAACAAAACAAGCAGTTAATCGAGGCGATTGCAAGTCCACGTAAAACCGGTACAAAACCAACTACAGTTATGAGCGACCCTATAAAGGAAGTTTTAAGCGATGTTATCGTAAATCCAGATAAGGTTTCAGCCATGAAAGTTAAATCGAGTGATCAAAAACAACTTTTAAAAACATCTTCAATGAAAAACGAGCCGTTGGTGAACGTGGCTGCAAGTAAAATTAAAAATCATAAAAAAACTCCGAAAACTGACGGAAAAGCGCAAAAGGGACCGATAGTGCACGCAGCAAGCGCACAAGTAGAAACTATAGTAAAAAGCAAACCTGCTATTGATGCAAAAGTTCCCATAGCCACAGCTACAATTCTGAGCGATTCTTTAACTAAAAATAATCAAGACCAAAGCGGTGTCATTGGGAAAGCAAAAGTTTTAAATGAGGTAGAGTTAACACAGGACAAAAGCAAGGCAACACCTAATGCGAAAAAGACAAAGATTACAGATACAGGTAAAACTGACCCGCTTGTTAAAACTGTCGTGAAAGCAAGTCCAACCATTTTGCAGGCTGACAACAAAAAAATAGTTGGTACCAATTTAAAGAAAACAGTAACCAAAATGAAGACGTCAGCTCATACAAAATCAGGAAACGATACTGACTTTGGTACACGTTTAAGTTCTGCTATAGTAACAAAAGGAACAGCCTCAAAGAAGATAGGAAATTCCGTTTTTACAGAGGGGCAGCCGGTGTATAGTGCCCCGGATGTAAACGATCTGCGTTTGACTTCCCGCGATTCTGGAGCTGCAGGATTGGCAGAAAAAAAGACAGTCCTTACCGATCTCAAAGATAAAAAACAAACACAGCCTATCATTCAAAAAGATGTATCGGCCATAAAAGTAGCGACAAATGAAATGAACGATGCTACCACAACGAAAGATCAATCAAAAGAACTGCATAACACATCCGGCATTGAAAGTGCAATGAAAACTACCAAAGATTCAATTGATCTTACTGCATCTGGTAAAATTCAAATAGAAAAAAAAAAAGCAAAACAAATCATGTCGTCGTCATCAACAAAATTACCAAATGACCAGACTGGAACAAACAGGGAAAGCAAAACTCATTCGGAACCCGGAAAAGGAAAGGAGAAAGTTTCATCGGTTATTACTGTTAAGCCTCCTGTTAACGCTGGAGAAAACAATTCTAAATTCACATCAAGAAAATTACTTCAAATGAGTGATAATGAAGGGATGAATGGCGGCGGACTAGGAAATATGATCAGTTCGTTATTTGGAATGATGTCTGGTTTTACAAGTGGTGGGAATGGCAGACAACCAGCACAGGAACCACGGGACGAGCTGTTTCCAACAGCTTCAACAGTCACTGAGATTCCACCATCATTCAACGCAGGATCCAACGATAATAATCGACTTTCTCGGCAAAGACAACGATTCCTGAACGATAGGCGGGAACGCCAACCTAATTCTCGGGATCGGCCAGCGATCGCAACCAACAATAGAGAAAGATCAACTAATTCATTAGCATTAGATCGTGCAAGAAATACAAGGGATCGATCTTTAGCTAGAAATGGAAGAGAAAGATTAGGCGTAGCTGTAGATCGGTCATCAAATATTCGTAATCGATCGAATCAACCTCCTGTTGATACACTAACTGATGTCAGTCCTTTACCTCCCACTGCCAACCCATTTGATAGCATTGACATACTAGACCCGAGAGACAGAGGAGGAATATTTTCACCTTTAATGGGTGGACGTAATGTAGAAATTCAGGAAAGATTGAGGGGAAGACAAGTAGAGGACACACGTACAGCTCGGGAGAGATTTCTAGATGCAATGATTTTAGCTGAACAGTTACCAGACCCTCGTCCGATCGATTCACAAAACGGTATTCGGTCAAGAGATCAAATTAGAGATCCTGCACTAATACGTTCTCGCGAACCTGGCTTAGTGGAAACATTGCGTAGGCGTATGTCAGATGCAGGACGTTCTCGCGGGAATACAGGAGTGGCGACTAACATTCAGACCCCCGAAAGAGGTCGCGGGCGCGTCCTGGCTGATACAAGACAATCCATCGGCGTAAATTCAAGAAATTCTAATTTACGGCGAAATATTGCAGGAACTGATCGACAACGCAGTGTAATTGGTATTCAGAGCCAAGGGAGGGACCGCCAACGGAATGCAGTAGGAGTTGGACCTAGCAGAAGACGAAACAATGCAGTAGGCGTTCAAGATATAGGAAATGAGCGTCAGCGACCATCGATAGGAGTTCAAAATGTTGGTAATGACCGTCAGAGAACGAGTGTAGGCGTTCAAAGTACAGGAACCGGTACCGACCGACGAACAAGAACAGGGGTTCAAAGCACAGCAGCAAGTCGTCAACGTACAATGATCGGAGTTCAGGGATTAGGTCAAAGAACAGCAATAGGTGTTCAAAATACTGATCGACAAAGGTCACTAAACGGACAAGGTACAGGAAATGATCGTCAACGATCAACGGTAGGAATATCCCTTCAAAATGGAAGGGGAGGCCGTCAGCGGCCAGCAATAGGAGTTCAAGGACCATCAAATGACAGACAAAGAACAGGTACTGGAATTCAAAATAGTGATCGTCAAAGAACAGCGGTTGGAATTCAAGGCTCAACAAATGATCGTCAAAGAACAGCGGTTGGAATTCCAGGCTCAACAAATGATCGTCAAAGAACAGCCATTGGAGTTACAAATGTTGGTCGTCAAAGAACATCGTTAGGTGTTCAACGCTCAGGTAATGACCGTCAAAGAACATCAATTGGGGTTCAAAGCTTAACAAATGATCGTTCAAGACCAGCCGTTGGAGTTACAAATGCTGGTCGCCAAAGATCAGCGATAGGTGTTCAACGTTCAGGAAATGACCGACAAAGAACATCAATTGGGGTTCAAAGCTCAACAAATGATCGTTCAAGACAAGCCGTCGGAGTTACAAATGCAGATCGACAAAGAACAGCGATCGATGTTCAACGTTCAGGAAATGACCGACAAAGAACATCAGTCGGAGTTGAAGGCTCCACAGACGAACGCCAAAGAGTAACCGTCGGAGTTCAAAATGCAGAACGGCAAAGAACAGCGATTGGCGTTCAACGCGTTGGAAATGACCGTCAACGAACGTCAGTTGGAGTTGACGGCTCCACAGCCGAGCGACAAAGAACAGCAGTCGGATTTCAAAATGGAGATCGGCAAAGAACAGCGATTGGCGTTCAACGCGTTGGAAATGACCGTCAACGAACGTCAGTTGGAGTTGACGGCTCGACAGCCGAGCGACAAAGAACAGCAGTCGGAGTTCAAAATGCAGATCGGCAAAGAACAGCGGTTGGCATTCAGCGCGTTGGAAATGACCGTCAACGAACGTCAGTAGAAGTTCGTGGTGGAACAAACGATCTTCAAAGAACAGCCGTTGGAGTTACAAACGCAGGTCGTCAAAGAACATCGATCGGTGTTCAACGTTCAGGAAATGAACGTCAACGATCATCAGTAGGAATTCAGGGCCCGGTAACCGATCGCCAAATACCACCGATAGGCGTTCAAAACATTGATCGACAAAGATCAGCGATTGGGGTTCAGCGTTCTGGAAATGACCGTCAAAGACTTTCAGTTGGAGTTGAAGGGTCCACAGCCGATCGCCAAAGACCATCGATAGGAGTTCAAAACGCAGATCGACAAAGAACAGCGATTGGTGTTCAACGTTCAGGAAATGACCGTCAAAGAACAACAATTGGAGTGGAAGGCTTGACAAACGAACGCCAAAGAATGGCCATTGGCGTTGCAAATGTAGATCGTCAAAGAACAGCGATAGGTGTTCAGCGTTCTGGAAATGAACGCCAACAGTCATCAGTAGGAATTCAAGGTTCAGTAACCGATCGCCAAAGACCATCGATAGGTGTGCAAAACATTGATCTGCAAAGAACAGCAATTGGTGTTCAACGTACAGGAAGTGACCGTCAAAGAACTGTTATTGGAGTTGAAGCCTCGCCAGACGAACGCCGAAGAACAGCCGTTGGAGTTTCAAATGCAGATCGACAAAGAACAGCGATTGATGTCCAACTGTCGGGCATTGAAGGTTTACGAACATCAGTGGGAATTCAAGGTATGTTATCCGATCGCCAAAGACCAGCGTTTGGCATTCAGAATGCAGATCGACAAAGAACAGCGACAGGTGTTCAACGTTCAGGAAATGATCGTCAGAGAACATCAGTAGGAATTCAAGGCTCGACAAACGACCGTCGAAGAATAGCCGTTGGAGTTCAAAATGCAGATCGGCAGAAAACAGCGATCGGCGTTCAACGCGTCGGAAATAACCGCCAAGGAACAACATTTGACATTAATGATCTTCAAAGAAAAATTATTAATGTACAGGGTTCAAATAATGATCGTCAACGAACGGCGATCGGTGTTCAACGTTCTGGAAATGACATTCAACGAAATAATGTAGAAGGTCAAAGTCCCGTTATTTCTTTTCAACGAACAGCAATCGGCATTCAAGCTGCAGGGGATATCAATCAGCGACCTATAATTAATACAGGAGGAGCAATCAGTAAAAGCCGTCGAACGGTGGCCACAAATTCAGTAAATAGAGAGCTAACGGAGCGTCAAGCACCGCCTGTAAGCACCGAAAGGAGGACAATAGCTGTTAACACAATATCTGGTAACCAAAGCGGTAGTCTGAATTCAATCACAGGAACCACAAGTCCAGAGTCTAATCGAATAATGGGAATTTCTGGAAACTCCTGGCAAACAGGTCCTCAAACTGTAGCTATTCAAGAACGTGGGACAAGACCAGTTTCATTAATAACCCAATTAAACAATCGTAACGCATTTGAAAATTCAATCGGAGAGCTACTAGCTCAGATAAATGCACAACAACTTTCTACAACGATGGAAAACACAGTTTCGATAACACCATTAGACCCAATGTTCGATTCATCAATACGTGTTGTTCCCTTAAACAATATCGACAATTCATTGCTCAACAATATGCCACAGGGACCGCCGATACAGATATTGAACAACACTGAAATACTGCCATCAGCAATAGCTGTAACAAGCAACGTAAATTCTATTGAAGGATCCAACACATTTGATCTTTTAAACAGTTTAGCAGCAAATAGGATGTCGATGCCTGATAGTCCGATGGCGAATAGTCTAACAGCTGAACAAATCCTGGCAGCAATGGCGGTAGCGCAATCTCGCCCCGCCAAGGATGTGGTCAATGAACCAATTGTTCTGGAAATACAACCTCAAATCCTCCCTACTGAACCACCACTGAGTAAGGACATCACCGACGCATTGGTGCAGCTATTGCGTGAAAATCTTTTAAACCAAAACACGCCTCCACAAACAACGCCAGTACCCTTTAAGCAAGACGCTATGCAGACACCTAATCAGGTATTAGTGTCTACAGGTGAGCAGCCGAAAGAGTTCCCACCGCTACTACCTTCTCCTCGTAGACAGACATCTAGCCTAGCTACAAATGCAACGGTTGTAGCCAACATTAACCAACCAAAAGGCCTTACCAAAGCGGATGTTCTTTGGAAATGGGAAGCATAGACAAACTCAATATATCTGATTTCCCCATGCATATAATATTACAAAGAGGTCATGTATTCGTCATTCTAATCATTTAATTATTAATTATGCTACATTATATGTTTAGTTATTTAAACCTATCATTTGAATTATCATAGCTATTTAAACTTGGATGGTAATGCTTTACAATATATAAATTGCTAAACACATGACACTTTTTTTTTCCATTTCTCATCTTATGTTGCTTTGTTGTTGTTGACTTATTCAATTATTTTCAATCCACAGTGTAGTCAATATGTATGTGTATCGTTATAGTATGTGTACGTTCTACTTATATTGTATAAGCAATGTCTTGCCTTACTGTTAGTTATACGGGATCTCTTCTGCCACTATCGTTACTATTTCAACTTTTTATTATTGCCTATCTGTTTAATCTTAGGGATGTATGCTCCGCACACTACACCTTAGTGTTACTTATGACGTCGGGTAAAAAGGAATTACCATGTGTGTATACTTGGGATGGAGCATTTTATATTCGTTATTTACTCGTATATTTTCAGCTATATGTCTTACTTGAAGACAATCTATCAAGTTTCCTTTGGTATCAACAACGTTTTACATATGGCTTACTTTACTGCTGTATACCTAAATCAACCTAAAGTGTGAGTAACTGAAATAAAACAAATCTGTGAATGATTGAGTTATGAGTTATTTGTTTCTTTTCCAACCTTTCTAAGGTACATGTATGAGACATTTAAGGTAACACACAAAGAGACAAACTAAAATAAAAGCACACAGTTACGGACATTATTTTCTTCTTTTTTTCAAAATACATGTACCATCTGTTCTCAGTTTTTACATTATAACCATGATTTTAGTCATTGACAATATTTAATTTTGATGGTGTCTTTAAAATTATCTAAATTTTCTGATAGGAAGACGTTTCTTTATCATCGTAGTATACAAAAACGCCTACGCTTAGCAAAATGTTTTATTTATTGTTTATTTATCTATTTATTATTATCATTTTTGTATATTCGAAATATCGTATTTCTAGTGTCAAGTAGGGTCTCATGTCTAAGTGTCCACAAACGTTGTATGTCTAGTTTCAACACGGTTTGTATTTCTAGTGTCAACAAATGTCGGATCTCTAGTGTCAACAAGTGTCACATCTCTAGTGTCAACAAGTGTCGTATGTCTAGCATAAACGAGTCTCGTGTTCAAGTGTCAACAAATGTCGTATGTCTAGTGTCAACAAGTGTCGTATTTCTAGTGTAAACAAGTGTCGTATGTCTAGTGTCAACACGTGTCGTATGTCTGTGTTGACAATTGTTGTATGTGTAGTGTCAACAAGTGTCGTATTTCCAGTGTCAACAAGTGTCGTATGTCTATTGTCATTACCCATTAATAATAGGAACACATACCTAAACCAACGTTTTATACCTAGCTGTTCACATTACTCAACCAAGCAATTATCACAACTTCTCATTACCTTTCTTTGTTCCTCAGGGTTACAGTCGCATTTTGATACTGTATTCTCAAGTAGTGGAATAAATGGAATGTGGATTTTGAAAAAAAAAAAAAAATCATAATTGCACATCCTATTCTCACACATGTTTCTTCTGAGAATATGTTTGACCTTTCTACTCTTTACCATATCCCATACCAACTGACGCATTCGTTCTCTTGTTTATAAAGCTTCTTTTTTCAAAGAAATACGAACGCCAATATAGACATGTGATTTTAAACTATTTTGGAGTATATTTTGCGAATATACGGAGGATGAAATTGTGAATATGACAGAGTCGAGTTCGAATCCAAGTTTTTTCACGGGGAAATGTAGACATTCCTTCTTCTTCTGGCCGACTTGCTTGTGTTTTCATTTAAGGATTGACCTTCATTTTGACTGCGTATACGGTAGTTCTGTATGAACGCAGTTGGCAACGAACATAGTCTATGGAGCGCGTAAGCGCTCCATAAAGAATATGTTCGTTGCCAACTGCGTTCATACTACCGTATACGCAGTCAAACTGAAAATCAATTCTTATATTTATATATTTTCCTACTATGATGGTACATTCAGAATAAAGCTAACTCCAATACATTTGCTTTTATAATGGTACAAAACCTCCGTAACGTGCGTAATTTCAAACAAATGAACAGCCTACAGCCTGCGTGCAGCGATGGATCTCCAACGTTACCATTATGACGTCACAATGTAAATTACGTCATCAATAGGAAACAATTGTCTCCAAGGAATCTCACTGCGTATACGGTAATGTATACGCAGTCACGGTTTACACAGCTTCAATGGAAGCGAATGTAAATATATGAGGTTGCATTTATTGTATCAGGAATTGTAATTAAAACCTAGCCGAATCATTCAATTTTTTTGCGGATATCTACGGTGTGCTGTCTTTGAATAATAAGAAATGTGTTGACTATGTGGATCGTATATACCCCTGTGAAATTGAATTCAAGGACGCTACAGGTTCTCCTATTTCAGCCATTCACTGATATTACAATATGCCCATCAGGAAGGCCTAGTTTTAAGCCGTTTGAACAGCGGGACGCTTCCACCAACCTAAGGTGTTTTACATGTCGCAGTAGATTTGGGATTCAATAGGCTGTTTCGAACGTCATGACTCAAACATTTCAATTGCTGACGGACATACTTTGAACACAGGGGTTTTAAAGATGCAGGTTGATGAAGACTATGAGAGGTTTGATCGTCACTATCATGATCTGATAGAAGGACATGATATTTCTTTTTGTGTCAAGAAGGTTAATGTTTCGGATTATGCTCGCTAGGTTGTCTCGTGGTTTGTTGTCACTACCTGAGTTCTTGAGTTTGCCCTTCCGGAACACCTGGTCTTATTCTTGTTCTTTTTCAAGTGTCTCCAAATGGATAGTGGTCTAGTTTTATCTATATCTACTTCGGAGTAAGGTTTTGTTGACGTATTTTCTTGTTGTTTGCCGTCTGTTTTCGCCAGATATCATTTAAATTTCTGATAAAGTAGGATACCGTCATTGGAACTTTTTAGTATTGGTTAGTGATTACCACTTGATGTTTAAAAGAAAAGGAAAAACCAAGGTCTGGGGTATGTATTATGAACATGTAGGATATATAAAAGTGTCGGAGTGAAATTCCAAAACAAATTAATAATTTTGACCCCGGCGCCCTTCGTGATAGTTTGACCACTGATGTAAGACCCTTTTTACTCCAACTAAATTAAAATACAAAAGCCTATCCTTGCAAATATTTCATTAAAATGGTAAATATGTATCAATAAATCCCATGTACATTGCATACAAGCACCAGTCATTTATTACTGATATCAAAATGATCAATGCATACCCGGTTAAGAATACTGAGTGGATACTGTGAAAGCTTATACCTTGTCTGCCCTAATACGATTTCATAAGAAAATATTCATCAACAACAACTGATCTAGGGTTGAAACTTTTGTATATCAGCTCTAGTTTACGGGAAAGAATAAATGTTTGTTATCGCTGAAATGATGACTGGCGCTGAATAAAAGAAAAATGACTTGTACAAACAACATTAAAACTGCAGGAACGACAATAGTTATTCACTGCCTCGAAGTTGGATACGTATCTTGTAAAAGTCACCATTGTAAAAGGATGAAATTCAAATCAGTTGTGTCGTCTTGATGGAGACACTTTTAATGCCCGCGATAGCTTCCCTCTCAATTCACGAAGAGAATCCATCTCACCTACGTTAGAAATCAACTTAACATTTGATTAATATTGTTTTCCTTATTTAATATTATTTTGATAATTTTGCAAAAAGGATGTTAAAGCTGTAACGACACATAGACAAATGCAGAAAGGGTTGGTTAATTTTAATTAACTAAGGTATACCGGACCACATATCATTTCCAAATACACCAGAAAAAGAACAAGTGTCAAAGCAGATGGAAATTGACGTGAAAAGATCCACATAATAGCAGGAACATCAAGAAGGTATTCAGAAATAGTCTTAACCGAGTGCTTCACCTACTGATAGCACAGATGGGGACATTTTGAAAAAAAACTATTGAATCTGAACAAAATCATAAAACTTAGTTAATTTAGAATATTTCATGCGATGCAGAATGTGCAGACTGAGGCAAGCAAAAAACCGGCATATATGAATATTATTATTCATGCATTTTACATAATCTAAATGTGAAAGCTGTACGCTAATTGTACATTAATGATTTTGTTATCATAAATTACTAAAAACAATATTGCAACATACAATGCTTCGTGCACATTGATGAATAATAAAATCATATTAAGAAAACCCGTTAATATTTATAGTGAATTTTTGTAGTTTTGGCTTCATTACCGAATGCTATTTCTTGATGAGACTTAACATTGTTATAAATATAACAATATACACTTATCATCTTTATTTCAATATCTTATGTTATCCCCGTCGACATTTTCATTTCAGAATTCATCAGTAGCAATACCTCTANCTTTATTTCACTTTGTGTAGTTACTCTATGTTGCCGTTTACCATGCTTTATTTCACTTTGTGTAGTTACTCTATGTTGTCGTTTACCATGCTTTATTTCACTTTGTGTAGTTACTCTATACTTTATTTCACTTTGTGTAGTTACTCTTCGTTGTTGTTTACCATGCTTTAATTCATTTTGTGTAGTTACTCTACGTTGCCGTTTACCATGCTTTATTTCAC